CTTCAACCAGTTTGTGATTTTGCTCAACCGCCATCTAATGTCGTTGGTGAAGAACTACCTCACATTAGGAATGACTGAACTCAACTGATCAACGGTTCTCATCAAAATTCCTTTAATCACCTCTCAAAAGTAATCACTAGTAAACAGATCAACTTCAGCTATGTATTATCCGTTAAAATCTATTGAAATATCGCTTCTTTATCGAAGTGTTTAACCACAAAATGTGATAACGCAATGATAGTGAATATAAAACAATAATTCACAAGGACGAAACGGCCATCCAGTGCTTTCAGGTTTTCCATGGTGGTCTAGCTTCAATTGATTCATGATTTCAACTATTGCAATTACTAAAATCTCCACAAAACCTCTTCTTATAATAATCATCTGCTCACTAGTGACTGACTTCAAGAGGCATTTCCTGGAGTTCTAGTGAGAAACTGTGGCCAATGGAGTTCAATCAGGTCTGTTGTGAGATATCAGCTCACTGAAGACAGTGGTGACGGTGGTGCTATTTCGTGGATTGATTGAAATTAGACATTAACACCGTTGGATGCCAGTCAGCTCAGTGGTCTAATGGTTAAGCACTCCCGGGCGTGACTGATAGGTCATAGGTTCGAACCCTGCAGGAGGGCGGGATCGTAGATGCGTACTACTAGGGAGTCTCACAATAGGACGAAACGACTGTCCAGTGCTTCCAAGTTTTCCATGATGGTTTCACTTCAATTGACTCATGATTTCAACTATTGAAATTACTAAAATTTCCACAAAACCCCTTCTGAAAAGAAAAAAATTATTTCATATAATTTTATGGCTTTAAATTTTGTAACTAACCGGTCAGTTTTCAAAAAAAAATAAATAAAATCAATAAATGTCGATTCATTTCAGTTATATAAAATTGGCAAACATGATTTCAACAAATATGATTAATTATTCATATTGATTTTGTGACATAATAACAATCAATCTCTTTATACATACGTCAATAAATCATGTACGTTTATCTTTCCGTTTTAATAATTCATATTTTTCAATGTACAGTGAAGACTTTATTAATGATAAGAAGATAGAATCTAAGTATCTTATATCATTTCCTGTTTATATTGTACATGATTTCGAACTATAAGTATGTTTCTATGAATGATTCGTGTTCACATGTTTATGAAGTCTCTTGTGGATCCATTGAAGCCTTTATTCTGTAACGATATGATAGTATTCTTGAATTCTCTTTTGATAAGAATGGTCATCATCATCTCATTTCCAAATGACTTCAAATATTATGAAACCATCATTGAAAATATATTTTGGTCAGCGTTTTTTTTGTTAACAGGATTGTTAATCACATGCCTAACCCTCCTCCTTTACCCGTGCGGCCTATGCTCCTGCACGAGGAGTAACAGGCATAAGTAAGCAAGTAATTAAGTAATCATTAAATATAAGAAGAATATATTTTGTCAACATTTGGTTTACATAGTACATCAAGCATACAGATTAAGAATATATATATATACTGATCCGTTAGAAATGATGCAATTTTGCTTAAAATAAATGTCTCTCAATGGTAGTATCGCGGCAAGCAGTACAAAATGCATATCTGCCGAAAAGATGGATCAACTGAAGTTCAAATTATCAACGGTAAAATTAAAAAAACCAATAAGATTAAATTAACATTTACCACCGCTATACGCGTTAGTGGCTATGTAGACTCTGAAGTTTAATTTATAGAATGTTGGGCGTTTGAAGTGTAAGGTACTGGGGTCAAGTTTCGACTTAAACACTAACACTGAATTGCGATTACATCTAGCTGATTATTCCCAAATAAGACTAAATGGGCATTCTGGATTCCATTGCTAAACATTATCCAACTCTTCTCGAAATGCATAAACAATGTTTAAACATGGTGTCGTGAACACATTACATTTTAGATTTATATAAGAAATGTTTTAAAATGAGGAAGTCCACTCTATTTTATTCATATAATAAGAATATTTGTAAAATCATCTTTATGTTTATTAAATTAACCAGTATTCATTTTCTAATGCTATTCAATGTCATTTAAACTACCGTTGATTCACTTCCTAAATGTCACTATCATGAATTGTCTCCTTCATTTGTTTTGTTTGTCTATTAGTTTTAAAGCTGTTTTTGCCAGATTGAGTTGATTGTTTTTTTGAAGTTATTGGTAATGAACTGTAGTTCAAATGAAACATATGGATCACTGGACTAGTATTCCATCGTATAATAATATTCTTAGGTTGTATATAGTAATACATATAAGTAAAATGTACATATTGATACTAGTGATAATAACAGCATGAATGAATGTTTCAACATAGGAAATTAGTTGAAACTTGGGCAAAGAAACTAATTAAACTAGTTTTATAAAGTATAGATAGATGGCGGCTAGTGGCAGAATCCAAGATGCACATTTTATTCTATTTGATACTCGTTAGATGGATACACTTGCATCCCAGAGTTGACGTTTACTCCGGTACTAGAAGCCGGTACAGTAGGGTTTGCTTCAAACGCTATCGCGTTATCTAATTAGTTAATTAGTGCAGAAAGTCATTGGCTTGCGCAACCGGGTGAATTTTAATATGTATACATTGAGTTTTCTCGAAGAGAAAATCAACTCTGGGATGTAATCACATCCATCCGATGAGTCCTAAAGAAGGAGAAAGATACATTCTGAATTCCACTGCCAGACACTACCCATTTATACTTGAAACTAATTGTGGCTTAATGGAAACGTCGACGCAACCCTCATATGCCAAAAGGGATTGATCAATGGGAAGATTTAAATAATCAATATAGATGAATTTATCTAAGTAATAATTACTACATGTTGATTAGTAGTATGTGAATAACCAGTTCAGATATATAGTTTGTGTATAATAGACCTGAAAAGGATGGAATGAAATAAACGATGAATAGACAGAATCATCAAAACATTCCATAAGATTTTGTCTATTATAGAAAACGTCAGGGATGTTGGCTCAAATCCTGATGTCTAACATTGTATATGGAAAATGAAATACATATAAAGTTCCTGTGCACTGTTTGAACAAACTTACCACTATTAGTGCTATACATAGATTAAACTAAATCTGTTTATGGGAATGATTTTACAGAAAGATATTTAATGGTAAAACATTTAGTTGTCTATCTAATGATTTAAAAATCCATTGTGACGGTGACCATAAAAATTTTTTCGTTATATTACTATAGAAGTCGTACACGTGTTACTTTAATCAAACATTATCCAGTAGTTCAATACATCAAAAAAGATAATCCTTCACGTTTTCTGTTTTCAATATGCTATATCCCGACAAGAATAATGAATGGTAATTTTTGGGGATCCATTTTTGAACCAGTACTGTGTGTATATTTTTGTCGTATAATTGTTTTTGACTAAACTGTACACATTCATGTTCCTCTTATCATGAGCTTCATTTTGACATATGAACTATTATTATACGACTTACCATTCTTGAATTATGGACCGTCTATTAATTACTACGTCGCACATTCACTGCCACATTTGGCTAATTCTTGTACAAATGTTGTTTCCTATTTTATGGTACGATGTGGTCTGTTTGGTTTGTATATAAACCTAGTTTGCTTAAAATATACGATTCATGTCGTGGAGGCTGAGATTGATGTTCTGGACTCAACAGGCTGGGCTAGGCGGAAAGGAGGACCAATCAGGACTCTAGGCTGCTCGCATGTGTTTTATGCATCACTGGTTCGATCGATAATTCGCTGCTCTCTAATTGGTGGTATCGTTGCGTTATACAATGAACTGGGCACACGGGTTCACAATAACAGAAAAACATTGAAAATAATAATCATTATACAACTACTTTTTTATTATTTTAGGCCTCCTCATCAATATACATCGAAATTAACTCTTGATTCACTATAGAACAATGTACAATTAGATTTGAACACACAAATCTAAATATTATACGTTCACAAATTTGCGTGTAGGTGTTAAACTCAGTTGCCAAGAAGACAATCTATAAATACTGCAAAGAAGCCTTGAATCAAGATAAACAAAATTATCCAGTACTTTAGTTTTTTTAACATCTTTTGTAGTTCATATCAATTCATGATGGAGATTGTCTTTTTTTTTATTGATTATTATATCTTGTGTAGATATATTGATCATGATTGAACTTTCAATATCTAGGGCGAGACTATAATTTATAGACAAACTAATTAGATATAAGATAGTAAGTCTTCGATTTTGGAGCGAAATTCATTTATTACTTACTTGAATAAATTTTTCTGGTTAGCGTTTTTTAGAGAGTTAGTTTTCTACGAGATGGGGTCGGTAACCCCATGCCCAACCCTCCTTCTTTATCCACGCCTGGGACCCGCTGTAGCCCTCGGAGGGACTCCAGGCTGAGTTGAACTTCATTTATACATTTAGCTAAATAAAGTTCTAGCATTATATCCAATATTAGTCTATGATACAAATCTTAACCTTAATCATCAACTGTAAATCATAAATTCATATTCCCTCATATTCATTTATAACCATCATTTTGTCTTAATTTGTAGGTGGACATTCTCAAAATCATTTTAATATCAGTTCAATAGCATCCATAAATTATACTCTCATTATATATATATATATATATATATATATATATATACAGCTGGTGGGCGGTCCATGCTCCTCTATAAGGGGTAATAGGCGTAACTAAGTAATATATATGCATAATAATGTTAATTATCAATCATAAATATAAATGTTACCTAAATTAATTATCGTTATTCAATTATATATTAGAGAATTAATTCAACTGTACACTTTTATGTTTAAATACGCCTACATAAACATGAATTTTTAATTAACCAATCAGAAATTAATAACATCATTCCACAAATATGATTGGTTAATTTATCTCCAACGAAAAAAAATACAAAAATAAAACAAAAAAACAAAAAAAACGAAATATTAGTTGTCTAATCATCATTCTAATGATGATTTCATTGAATTATTTACTAAAATATTTCTAATATTATTTCCCAATTATACATATACATCTATATATCTATATAGAATCATATTGATGGATAATTAAGACATATCATTGAAACAATAAAGGATTATTATTATTATTACTGCCATTATGAATCATACTTTAACTATAACATATATTGAATATAATAATTTCTTTAATATAACACAATTTATAAAATCACCATATAAAATGATCACATTAAGTTTATTATTATTTATTAATTTATTTATATTTGCATCAAATTTATTTATGATTATTATATTACTTATAAGTAAAAATAAACGTTTTGATGCAACACGTAAATTTTTAATTAATTTATCTATTATTGATATACAATTTGCTTTATATATTATGCCTATCTCTATTATATATTTAATATTAAAAATGAATTGGTTATCTTATTATATGATATGTTATTTATGGATTATTATAGATATTTATTTTTGTACAACGAATATGTTTAATTTAGTAATTATAGCATTTGATAGAATGTTAGCTATTAATTATGCTGTAAAATATAATCAAATTATGTCACCAACACGTGTACGTTTATTATTATTATTAATATGGTTATTAGCATTATTCATTATATTACCATTGATTGTTTATATAATTTGGTATCAATTAAATATATCATCTATCAAAAAACAAAATATGGATTTGACAAATTCTTTAAATTTTAATCATAATGATGATCCTAATGATTCTATACAATATAAATGTAGTTTAATCCATGTAAGTATATATATACGTTTATTTATATCCATATGTTCAATGTATATACCAACTTGTTTAATGTGTTATTTTTATTTTCATGTATTCTCTAAAGTGATTATAAATAAACGTGGTATTTCAGTTGGTTTATTAATTGATAATAATAATGATTATTATAGACAATCAAAGAAAAAATTGACATTATCTAATGATCATATCAATAAAATCGATTTTAATCAACTGATAATGATAATAATACTATGGATAATAATAAACGGAATCATTGCAAAATGGATAAAACTCTTAAATATAAAAGTATAAATAATCATTCAAAATATGGTTTATTAAGAGTACATGTTGGTGGAAAACAATTACTATATGGTAATAATACATTTATAAATCATAAGTGTAATAGTACTACAAATATTAACAGTATTCATAATAATAATAATAATAATAATGATAATATTTCACAACATTTAAAGTTAATTAACAATGACACTAATGATTCAACTATAATGATTAATACATTATCAGATAATTCAACAATACAAAATCAAGATGATTCATATGATCAACTAAGATCTACAACAACAACAACAACATCATCATCAACGAAAGCTCCTCAACAACAACAACAACGCTCATCATTAACAACGGAATTTATAACATCAAATATATTAATGAAATCTGATTATACTTTATCGAATCAGAAATCCAATGATTCAAATTCAATCAATTTAATGAAACCTATGGACAAACTAGAAACTAGTAATAATAATAATAATATTATAATGAAAAAACACTCAAATTCATTATCTGAAGTATTCTTAAAAGTAAATAGGAATAAATTGAATGATAATAATGATAATAATAAATCGATTAGTCAACAACCTCATTCATCCTCACCACCACTACCACCACCACAACAACAAAATTTCAAAGAAAAACTTACCAATATATTACGTAAACATTCATTTCATACATTATCACCATATACATATATAAAACCAATAGAATTATCTCAATCAAGACGTTCTACTGGTAGAACTGATAAACATGATAAATGTAATGATATTATAACATTAAGACGTTGTGCATTAATGCCATTAAATCATAATACACCTTATTCATCAATTAATAATGAATATATGATACATTCGAATAGAAATTCAGAAAATTTATCAAATTTATCTACAACATTAATAACACCAAGAAATAGTAATCAATTAGATAAATCAATAATTATCAATGATCCATTATTATTCACATCATCACCCTCAGCAACAACAACAACACCTAATTATAATTATAATATTAAAATGAAACATTTAATTGAATTAAAAGCAATCTTTATGTTTTTAATTAATATTAGTTCCATTATATTCTGTTGGTTACCCTATTACACTTTAATCTTATTTCATGATATTTTACCTAATTTATGTATTACATTTACTATTTATCATTTTTTTTATTGGTTAAGATTTCTATGTATAGCATTCAATCCAATTATATATGGTTCAGCATCAGAAGATTTACGTAAAGCATTTAAACGTTTTATATTACATTGTGGTAAAATAAAACATGAGAAAAAAGCATTAAAACGTTTAGTATTAGCTGGTTTAGGTGCAGCTGGTATACCATACGGGCATAGAATAATAATACCACAACAAATGAAATCAACAGATTTTAATAATCAACAATATAATAAATCAGTTCTATTTAATAAACCATTAATGGTAATAGCTGATATTGAAGAAAAGATTTAACTATCTATCTATCTATCTATCTATCTATCTATCTATCTATCTATCTATCTATCTATCTATCTATCTATCCACACATCTATCTATCTATCTATCTATCTATCTATCTATCTATCTATCTATCTATCCACACATCTATCTATCTATCTATCCACACATCTATCTATCTATCTATCTATCTATCTATCTATCTATCTATCTATTCACACATCTATCTATCTATCTATCCACACATCTATCTATCTATCTATCTATCTATCTATCTATCTATCTATCCACATCTATCTATCTATCTATCTATCACATCTATCTATCTATCCACACATCTATCTATCTATCTATCTATCCACACATCTATCTATCTATCTATCTATCTATCCACAATCTATCTATCTATCTATCTATCTATCTATCTATCTATCCACACATCTATCTATCTATCATCTATCTATCTATCTATCTATCTATCTATCTATCTATATGCATATTCAAAGTATTTCACCTGTGATTTTGACGTGAATAAATACATGTTTACCATTTCAGTCTTATTCTCAGACGTTTCATGTTGTATAAATATAGATATTTCTATATATAAAATATAAATGATAAATACATTCCGTTTTTCTCTGGTGTTTTCTTTCTAATTTTCTTTTTGTTGTTATTGTTGTTGTTGTTTAAAGGCATTCTTTGAATATTCAAATTATTTGAATGAATAAATGAATGTAAGATTTTGATATATGTTGAATTAATTTGTTTATTTTTATTAATTACAAAATGAAAATATTATTTAATGTAAGTTAGACATGAAGTTAGACATTAACACGATTGGATGCTGGCTGGCTTGGTGGTCTAGAGATTAGGCATCCACGCGTGAGACTCATAGGTCCTGGGTTCGAATCTCTCCTGGCGGGATCATGAATGTGCACTGCTGAGGAGTAGCATAATAGGACGAAACAGTTTTTCAGTGCTTCCTGATTTTCAATCGTAGTCTAGCTTCAATTAACTTATGATCAAAACCATTGAAATTAATGTAATATCTACAAAAACTCTTTTTGATATTAATCAACATATACTCACTAATAACTGGCTTCAAGAGATCTTCCCTAGAGTTCTATTGACAAGCAGTGACCAGTGGAGTTCGACTGGGTCTGTCGTGAGATAGTGACTCACTGATAACTGATGAATTCATCGTTCAATTTCGTGGATTAGTTGATGTTAGACATTAACATCGTTGAATGCCGGCCAGTTCAGTGGTCTAGCGGTTAAGGATTCGCAAGCCAAACGAATAGGTCCTGGCTTCGAATCTCTCAAGGAGAGGTCGTAGATGCGCGCAGCTGAGGAATCCATGCTAAGACGAAAGGGCTATCCAGTGCTCCAAGGTTTTCCATGATGTTCTAGCTTAAATTGACTCATAAATTCAACTATTAAAATCACTATAATATCTACAAGAAGCCGTTCTAACATTAATCAACATATCCTAACTAGTGATTAGCTTCAAGAGGTATTTCCTGGAGTTCTAGTAAGAAGCAGTGACCGGTGCAGTTCAACCGACTCTGTTGTGAGATAGTAACTCACTGAAGACAATGATGGACGGTGAAGCGATTACGTGGATTAGTTGAAATTAGACATTAACCCTATTGAAAACCGGTCGACTCAGTGGTCTAATGGTTAAGCGTCCACGCGTGAGACCGATAAGTCTTGGGTTAAAATATCCACAAAAACCATTTTGAAATTTTAATCTGAAAGTAATCATAAGGTAATCATACTGAAAAAGTATATTGTTGTCTGAAATTTTTATTCTTATGTAAGTAGTATTAGCTGTTTTAATAATCATCAAATAATATAATTCATGTAATTATTTTTCTGAAGTTAATTCTATTTTAATCCTTGGATTACATTCAGTCTCTAGTGAAAATATACTTTCACATTGGAAAAAATAATATATGATTAAATAAAATGAAATATATAAGAGTTTAGATATAAAAAGAAAGATGGATAGTGGCTAGCATTGGAATCTAGGTCTTGCGTTTCGTCTTATTTGGAACTCATTAGTTAGATGTACCAGTATCTCATAGTTGATGTTCACACTGGGACTCGAACATAGTATCGTTCTCTTCAAATGCCATCGTGTTATCTACTTAAGTATTGAGTCCCGATAGCCATCTGCTTGTGCAATGGGATGAAGTTTAAAGTAACTTGATATAGTTTGCTTGTATCTTCTCATTGTTGTGAACATCAACTCTGAGATGCAGGTACATCCAGTTGAAGAGTCCCAAATAGGATGATTCATGCGTCCTAGATTCCACTACTAGCCATTATCTATCTTTGCTTTGACCTAAGGCAACACCAAGGCAATCCGCACAGCTTGCACATATGGCAATAAGAGACTGGTCAATCGCAGTCATAAACAACAATGGGACTCAGATAGACAAAATTAAATGAATTCAAACAGTTAAGATAGTTATGTTTTAAAGCTTTGCATTGTTTCTCCGACAGAAGTTTACTTAGATCATACTGTTAATAACTACATAAGAAATAAACTTCAGGAATACTGTAATGAATATTAAAACACCAATGGGAACGATCAAATGTATTTTAATACGAAATAACATAATCTCTCAGTAAAATTTGAAAACCATACAGTAAATACTTCATTTGCGAAATATCAATCAATTATCTTAGGTTTGATTATTCCTTAGTTTTCACACTAATCACTCCTTGTTTTCGTTCTCTCACTTCGATCTTAACCTTCTACTACCAAGTATATAACTGACAGTTGATGATACATACTACTTATATCCATCTACATCAGTAGCATACACTACAAATTCCTTGAAAAACAGTTGTTAAGTTGAAGCATAGCATACTAAAAGACATAATGGACCAATAGTGTATAAGATCCTCCCAAGTGAGAAATACGACATGAAGGTGAAAAGGGTGTTTTTGCCGCGAAAACAAAGAAATTCAAATTTTCTGAGTAAATTACAAAATCAGGTCTTTTTCTAAGTGACATTCTGTGGATCTAACGTCCCTAACAACAATAAAATAAAGTATACAATCAAAGCAAAACTGTTGGGATATTCAGAAAAATATCCTGAAAATTATCTTGTTAAGTCTAATGCTATTCTTGAACGTGAAATGGTGTCATTTTCCTATTGGCCAATTTTTGTTCCACGTGTCGTTTCCCTACTGGTCATTATTTATTTCACGTATCATTTTCCAGTTGTCCAAATATTGTACAAATGTTATTTTCTATTTTATGGTACGTTGTGGTCTGTTTGATTGATATATGAACCGAGTATCTTTGAAATATGATGATTCATATCGCAGAGGCTGAGTATGGTGTTCTGGACTTAACTGGCTGGGTTAGGCAGGAACAGGGCCAATCAGAGCTCAAGACTGCTCGCATGTGTTTTTTGCGTCATTGATCCTATCGATAAGTCACTACTCTCTAATCGGCGGTCACATATATTAGAAAAACGATCAGTTCTCAGTTTCAATAAAGTATTGTTGTCCTAATGAAAAGAAAACGGTAACATGTAGTTAAAATAATCCTTTATTTGTTTTTGTATCGATACTATACATTAGGAAAATACATTTAAAGTCGATTATAATAATAATGAGGGAATATTACATGTTTATTCATGACTTCATATAATCTTTACTTTAAAAAAATAAAGTGTAAACTTATATAAACTCGACTAAAACAAAAACAATGTAACATTGAATGTTTATTTTCGTTACAAATTCAAATTAATATCATTATCCCATTTGAATCAAATGACGTCAGTAAAGCTAAATGTGTAAAATAAAATCAATATTGGTGTTAATGTCTAACCTCAACCAATCCACGAAGTTGCGCGACCATCTCCATTGTACTGAAGTAGATACTTGTCTCCATTCGATACGGATTAACTCAACGGATCACCGCCTCTCCATAAACCCTAAAGACGGATAATTACCAAGTGCTCATTAGTGATTAGCTTCGTGAGGGAATTCTCGGAGTTCTAGTGAGAAGTCGTGACCAGTGGAGCTAATCCAATGTCGGGTAGAGAGAGGTATCTACGTCAGTACAATGTAAGATGGTCGCGAAATTTCGTGGATTGGTTGAAATTAGACAATAACACCGTTCGATGCCGGCTTAGTGGTCTAGTAGGTTAAGCGTGTGCGCGAGACTGAGTGTCCTGTGTTTGAATATCTTGAGGCAGGATTGTGGATGTGCACTATTGGGGAGTCCCACAATAGGACGAAACGGCCATCCAGTGTTTCCAGGTTTTTAATGGTGGTCTAACATCAATCTGTTCATGATCTCAATCAAAAACTTAATAATCTCCACAATCCCTATACTGATTTTCTGAGCTGCATTAAAAATTATGAAGGTAATGGGTAGAAGGAAAATTAAATTAGATTTCTAGCTATTTATTAAATAAATCAAAATTTAACAGTTGAGTTCACGAGTCAGTTGAAGCTAGACCCCCATGGAGAACGTGGAAGCACTAGACGGCTGTTTCGTCCCAGCAAAGGAATCATCTGAACGAAAAGACCATCCAGTGCTTATAGGTTTTTTATAGTGGTCGAGCTCCGATTGTCTCATGATCTTAAACATCGAAATTAATATAAAGTCCACAAAAACCGCTTTCTAAGAATAAGAGACGGAACTCTGATTTAGATATAATGGTAACTTTTGTTTGAGATTTATAACAAGATATTATCCACAAACATACGAAACTTTGAAATAGAATTGAAATGATGAGATTGAGAAGGCACACTACTTGGAAATCATTTGAACAAGAATGAATTTTACTGACCAGACATTGATTTGAATTGTATTCAATATGTTTATCATACTTTTATTAGCAATAGGTCTCAAAATACACAAAGGGAAAGGCGAGATTCTCCGATACAACACAAAACACAACAATCATATCACACATGAAAGAGAAGATTTGGAAGATGGAGAAACATTCACATATCTGGACAGCATCATTGATGAACACGGTGGATATGATGCAGGTGTGATCAGATGCTGATCAGCAAAACAAGACCAGCATATCTACAACTGCAGAATAT